GTGTTTAACTTTGTGTAAATGGGAAGGTTAGGGCCAGCAACCCTTGGGGGTTAGGGTTAAAGAAGTAATTTTAAATAACTTGGAGACCCTTCAAAACATTCGAGAGCGGCTGCACAGGTTGCATGTGCCTGAATCCTAAACCTTTTCCTTCACTCAGGGAAGGGCACAGCTCCGTCATCGCCGAGTGTGAACGAGAGATTCCCTCCAAGCCAGATGCCGTCATCATCTGCATCGGGGGCGGTGGCTTGCTCTGTGGGGTGGTGCAAGGAATGCAGAAAGCGGGCTGGCAGGATGTCCCCATCATTGCCATGGAAACGAGAGGCGCTGACAGCTACAACCAGGCAGTGATGGCCGGAGAACTAGTGACGCTGCCGGACATAACCAGGTATAGGGGACTGTAACCTTTTGTTTTAAAATCCCACTTCAAGAATTGATTTTAAAAATAACAAAAGAGGACAGGTCACGCCGGGCACAGGACTATGATGTCTTGACTACAGACTGAAAAAACCATATTACATCGATTCACACCATAAAACTACCAATGAGGAGGTTGTAGGTTCGAAACTCACCCAGGTAATCTTGTGACTTTATTTATTTTACACACTGATATTTCAATGCTTGTAACACACCACTGACTGAAAAATCTCGCATTGAAGGTGACATCTTCCTAATTTGTAATTGTATTATATTCCTGAAGTGTGGATTTGAACAGTTGACAGAATTCCACAGAATGTTTTACTGTGTTGGAAAATAATCACCTTTTGAAAATCTTAGATTTGAAATTTATATCATATACATTGAGAGAAACTAAATGATTCTTTCTTCAGAACCTGCAAAATTTTCATTGAATTGAACCAATTTTTTCCCTCTTGATATATAGCAAAGCTAAGTGTCTTGGGGCACTGACTGTTTGCAGAAGAAGTTTGGAGTGTTATAAGGAACATCCAATTATCTCTGTGGTAGTGGACGATCGGGATGCCGTCAATGGATGCCTGAAGTTCTTAGGTACTAGAAATAGCAGTTTTTTATAATGAAGAGGCTGAAATGATATGTTATTTGCCCTTGTTGCTTTCTCTCATTCCTGGTAATCATAAGTTAAAAAGAAATAAACTGTGGCATTCCCTTAGCACTTGGCAGGCAAGCCTCTTGGCCAAATGATGTGGACTGATCTGTTTGGCAGGGTTTCAAATACCGAAATACCCTGCAGGGTGAGGGTTCAGGTTTATACAAGAAATGCCTAGCTCTTGGTTTTTGAATGTAACAAAAAAACTTGTTTAGATTTGGGAGAGACATTTGAGATTTACTGCCTAGTTCCAATTAAGAAAAGGTAAATGTATTTTCAAAAATGGCCGGCAGAGAAAACTCAGTAATTGTTCAGAGACTGCTTTGAAATTGCAAGGGAACAGGAGTCGTAAAAGCTGTAATTGTCACTTGTCCAAGATGTCTAGAATACTTTAAACTTTGCATGGCTACACAGTTTTTTGCGAGTCGACCTTGAGCACATTACAGAGCTAAGCCTTCAAATCTGTGGCTTTTGCGTTGTGCCAAATCAGCTTGCAGCACACAATTCTGACCGTTCATTGCTGGTGTTTTTCTGTCTCAGATGATCAGCGGATGCTAGTGGAGCTGGCTTGTGGCGCCGCCCTGTCCTGCATCTACAGCAATGTCCTCACCGATCTCCAAGACAGCGGGAAGCTACGGAAGGACCTGCAGTCCGTCCTGTTGATTGTGTGCGGAGGGAGCAGCATCTCGTTAGACAGACTTCTGGAGTATAAGTCCTCAGTTGGGCTGTGAAATAGCCTAAATGTGTCTCAGAAACACAGACTGTGGTTGAAATCTATTAGTCAAATTGAGCACACAGCGGGATTGTTTAATGTTTGTATTTTGCAGTGGAAGGACAGAATTTATCCATGAGTCAGCCAAATTGAAATTGAAAGTGAGGCTAACTGTTCATTTTGGGAACTTTTGAGAAAGCACTGAAATGACTTTTGATGATAAATATGCACCAGTCTACTCTGATCAATAACTGCAAATTTGTGATTGAATATACTCAAGTATTTTGAGCCAAAGATTGAAAACTGGAATTGGAGGCTTGCAAAGAATGCCACTCATAAAAATAGTCTGGTGCCATCCCATTTGTCATCAACTAGCGTCATTGGTTTACGGATACCAAAACCCACCCGATTGATGGTACAAATCAGCGATAGGATCACTGATCTAGATCCCTGTGAAACAAACAGGCCTGGTATAAACCAGATGCAGAACAGTGGATCCAAAACGACCTCTTCGTGACCAAAGTATATAATGCATTGTAATATAAGGCAAGTCGAATTTACGGAATCTATTTGTCAAGGAGCTGGAGGCATTTTTTTTCAAATTTGTTTGGATTTACAAGAATGCTTCTTCCATGCAACAGAATGGAAGGCAACTTAAAATCACCTTCAAGTGGTTCGTTCAAGTGATTATCATCATGACTGACTGTGTGATATGAAGCTAATTATTAAATTGTTTTTAAATGGTTTCATTTTATTAACCGACCAAGTTTTATCCTTGAAGGACTTTCAAATGCATTTGGTTTATTGACAATATCCCAAGATACTGAAACCAGTGCACTGCAGTGCTTAAAGTTAAATCCTGTATCCAATATATTTTCATACATATTCAAATATACAGGGTGTCCACATAAAAACTATA